CGAGTGGCCCGTTTGCAGAGCTTGTTGGCTGCCTCATGTACCTGATGACCTGCACACGACCTGACCTCGCATACCCTCTTAGCATTCTCGCACGCTTTGTTGCTCCTGGGAGACACCGACCAGAGCACATGGCTGCAGCGAAGAGGGTGTTGCGCTACTTGTGCAGTACGTCGGGCATGGGGCTAGTGCTTGGAGGGCGCAGTCCAGTGGTCCTCACTGGGCACGCAGACGCTTCTTGGGCTGACGACCAGGCTACGCAGCGGTCGTCACAGGGTTACACCTTCAGCCTTGGTTCCGGCTCTGTCTCGTGGCGGGCTACCCGCTCGTCTTCTGTTCTCGGCTCCAGTTGTGAGGCTGAGATCTACGCTGGGGCTATGGCTGCACAGGAGTTACGCTGGCTCACCTACCTGCTGACCGACCTTGGAGAGCAGCCTCGTTCTCCTCCAGTCCTGTACGTAGACAACAAGGCCATGCTGGCCTTGTGTCGAGAGCAGCGACTGGAGCACAGAACGAAGCACATTGCTCTTCGCTACTTTCTTGCTCGTGAGCTACAGCAGCGTGGACAGCTGCGACTTGCGTACGTGGCCTCTGAGGCCAACACTGCTGATGTCTTCACCAAGGCACTTGCGCCTTGTGATCATCAGCGTTGCTGCACGCAGTTGGGTCTTGTGCCTGTCTTGCCTCACTTGCTCTCCTCTTGACCTTGCTTGTACTTTCGCATATATATGCTCTTGCTCTTGTATATCTCTATATATGATCTTGCATGTGAACTGGCCTTGTGGCCTTTGAACTTGTGCTCGGAATGCGTGGTGACTTTGTGATCCACCCTGAGCTTTGCTTTGCTTTGCTTGACCGGTCTTGTGACCCCTTGTTCTCCCCCACTTTGCCTATGGGGGTGTGTCAGAACTTATAGCTTACTTGTTTCTGTAGGCTATAGTGGGGTATCCCATAGGGGGTACAACCCAATTAGGGTTTCCTATTTGTACCCACTTCGTTCATAGTCATTTCACTTCTCGTTCGTACTTTCTCAATTTCTTCGCCAGCTCATACGCGTACTCCAGCGTCGCCGATGGTCCCCTCTCAAACACCCTTCCTCGTACATCCCCGGCCACCCGCTCGTCCAGGCAGTTGAGGAATTTGGAGACCAGCCTCCACTCATCCCTGCACTCCATGTCCGCCGCCAGCTCGCGCAGTCTGCCGTACGTTGCTAGCAGAGATTCTCCCGTCTTCCTTTTGAACGACGCGAACTCCCTCATGCGCTCCGGCGTCTGTACTGGGAAGTGGCCCTTCAGCGTGTCGAAAAACTGTGCCACTACGTCCCAGGTCACTCCGCTGGCTTGTGCCGGCTCACTCAGCATGCGCTCTAGCTCCATGCCATACGCGGTCTCCGCTTCTCCTGTCACGGTGTTCGAGAGTCCCCGGAAGAAGTCTTCTGGCTCCAGGCCGTCCTTCATCCAGCGATACTGCGCGTTGCGGATCTGCATCATGTAATTCTTCAGACTGCTGCCCACGCCTGGCGTGCCTGCGAAGCGCTCGGGCACCTCTATCTTGGGCAGCGCAGCGTACTTCACGTTGCCCGGGCGTGCTACCTCCGTCACTTGATGCTCTGACAAGGAGAGACGCCTCAAGCGCCCGAGCAGCTCGCCGTCAGTACCGCCCTCTCCTTGCGCGTTAACCGTGCGCGACGGCGACCCTCCCGTGGTGGCTTCCACCCGCGGTCTCCCCGTCGAGCTCTCTCTCGCGTCCCGACCCTCGCTCGGCAGGTCACCCATGCTGTGCCTCCGATGCGGTGCCGTGTAGGCCTCCCTGCGGGCGCCGTCTTCCGTCTCGCCCGCCTGCGTCCTTTTCTCGCTCCCCGTGACTTCTCCTGCACGCCATCCTGGCGTCGCCATCGTCGCCAATTCTGGCGGCCGCTCGTAACGCTTCCCAGAGCGTGTCTGCATGCGCTGTCCAAGGCGCTTTACTCCGGAGATTTCCTTCATTGTATGTCAGAAAATCTCCTTGCCACTACCGGCTGACAAGCTGGTTCCCTAGCGTGCTCATGACTGCCTGCGAGTGAGTTAACAGGATTACATTGGAGCAAACGGGAAACATACAACGAAGCAGCCTACACTAGGGTATCAGCTCTGCTATGTACAAGCCAACTTTGCTGCCCTATCCTAGCGCCTCTATCATGCACACATCACATGGGCGAGGCTCGGGGTGCCGAGCCATATTTCCAAACCGCAGGCGCTCTGAATCTGCATGGGCTCCAGCGCACGCCCTTCGCCAGCTGCAAGCTTGGCGTGCATGTTCAACTGCAGCTTTTGCCACCTGTCGGCTGTGCTGCACTTATTCGCGTCAACAGCTCTCGCCCTGCACAGGACACAAACGAAACATGCACCACCCCGACTCATACACCCACCATTCTCATGCAAACTTTCTTGAGCGTTATTTACAATTATGTACACCCACCCTTCTTCCCTCCGCACTTGTAGATTCAGCTTCTGCCACATCCTCCCACTCTCCCTGCTGCCAACTCTTGGCGCTGTCTCGGCTCCTATGCGGCCCTCCTGGCTACATAAACCACGACAGCGCAGCCGATCTTATGAGGTGTCATGTACGGGAGAGAACGAGTACAGGGTTGAGCAGGGGGAGACGGAGAGCAGAATCGTGACAACGGATCCGGAAAAGGTGGACAACACCAAGTGCTCCTGCAACTATATACAGTGAGTTCAAGTTGCCCATCTTGCCTGTCCATCTAAAATATATGTTCATATTTATTTTAACATACGGCTCATTGTACATTTCCCACATGCATGTGTATGCATGCAACGTACGATCACCTACCTATGGTTGGAGGGATCTGCTCTTTCTTGTCTTGCCCTCGTGTGCCCATTTTGTTTTATCTGCAGAGAATACGGATTGCCATGCGTCCATATGTTCGCGGTCTTCAGAAAGGATGGGGAGAGGGCTCTGGCTATGATCAGCAAGTATCACACTGTGGCGGCCCTGAAGGAAGTGTATGTGACGCCCTGGAAATTGATCGACCCTACAAGTGTGAAGCCGGATGGTACCACACTGCCTCCAAAGTACAAGAAGAAGTCAGGCCGCCCCCCCAAGAAGAGGCTTCGATCGCATGGTGAGCTCGATCCCAAGAGATTGCGCAAGTGTAAGAAGTGCTCGGAATACGGCCACAACTCTCGTACATGTGAAGTGCGTGCAGCTAGTAGGGCTATGTGGGAGGCGTTGATGACACCTGAAGGGCAGTTGCATGCCCAAACGGTGACAAGCGTTGATGGGACCGTCCGCACGATCTCATGCAGGGCGTGCGGAGGACGACATGGCAGGGAGGTGATCTGTGAGCCGTTGAGGCGTGAGGGGACGGGACAAGATGATGAAGGGGAGGGCTCCTCTGGTGATGAACTTGAGGATATCACGGATGAGGTGTGTGATGATTCCTCGGATGAAAACAATGGTGAGGGCGCTAACGTGGCGCATGTGATCTTCACTCGGTCACACACAGGGCTAGAAACAGATGCACAAGCTACTGCCACGACCCCCGAGGGCAACCAGGGTCAAGGACAACAGCCTGTTGCTGAAGAGTCCCCTAATCTTGTGCAAATGGGAACTCAAGAAAGTTCGGCTGCAGTGGAAATGGCAGCATTTGACTCTGGGGTGCCCTGCAGGGATGACACCGTTGGTGCTGCTGTGACGCATGGGAGGGGATCTAGAGACTCCGTCGCCGCTAGGAGGTTGAGGCGGTTGCAGTGTCTAAATTTTCAGAGGGAAGTTGTCGACCCTAGCAGCATGGAGCGGAGTGGCTTTGATCCGCAGGAGGAGGAACCATTGCTGCCACGAAGTAGAGGAACAAGCAGACGGGGTAGGGGGAGCAGCGAAGCTGGAGGGCGTGCTGGGAGAGGCAATGGCAGGCGTGGAACAGCGAGAGGTGTTTGGCAGCAAGGGAGAGGGGTGGGTGTGGGGCAGCAAGGGAGGAGTGTGGGTGTGGGGCAGCTAGGGACAAGTGTGGGTGTGGGGCAGCAACAAGCGTTGATCGTGCTGTACGTCGACAACAAGGCAGCCATTGCCTTGTGTGAGGAGCACAGACTGGAGCACAGAACGAAGGACATTGCTCTGCGTTACTTCCTTGCTCGAGAGCTGCAGCAGCGTGGTCAGCTTCGCCTGCGTTACGTGGCCTCTGAGGCCAACACTGCTGATGTGTTCACCAAGGCGCTTGAGCCTTGTGACCATCAGCGCTTTTGCACTCTTCTAGGCCTTGTGCCTACTGGACCTCACTTGCTTATTTCTTGAGATTGTTTGTACTGTGATCCCTATATATATATACCTGCATGCTTACTCTTGCTAGGCTGTGATCATTGTACCTCTTGCTCTATTATAAACCTGCATGTGAACTGGTCTTGTGACCACTTGCTTGTGCTCGGAATTTGTGTGGTATCCTTGAGATCCACCCTGAGCTTGTTTTGCCTTGCTTTGCCTTGACTGGTCTTGTGACCCCTAGTTCTCCCCCACTTTGCCTATGGGGGTGTGTCAAACATTATATATGTTGTGCTTGTTTAGGCTATAGTGGGTTAGCCTATAGGGGGTACACAATTCTAGGGTTAGGTACTTGTACTCATTTCACTGTTAGTTCATTCATTCCTGTTCAGTTATTCAACAGAGGGTACGGGGGGTATGGTTATGAAGGATACAGAAGTCTCACTTTGAGAGTGTTTGCATGCTTGAGCGGCACGAGAAAGGGCCGTCCGTCCTCCATAACACCGGGAAGCTCAACCATTGTCGTTGTCCACTCGGAAGCCTTCTCTCCCTATTGGTCCGTTGCCCATTTTTGAGAGTCTTTGATGCTTCTCCATCCAGCCAATTCTTTAGGTCGAAGCTCGGGATGCGACATCACGGTCAGAAACCGTTTGCTTTGCTTTACTGTCATCCCTTGACCCTCGTTGAACGACTGCATGAGAAGCATAACCTCCTTACGGGTGTCGAAACTCGGTTCAGGTAGCCACATGGTATATGGTATGGCCATTTCGTCAGCATTGAGCTCTTCCGCATCGAGCTCGTCATCAACATCTGGTGCAGCGCTTGCCGGAACGGGCGGCGGTTCTGGCGACTGCTCTTCCGTTGGGGGCTATGCTATGACCAGCTCATGCGCTACGAGCAGGTGCAGGTGCAGCAAGGGCGCTGCAAGGGTCAGGTGTCATCGCTTGTCACCGTTTGGGCACCTGTGCTATGACCCTTGCAGCGCTTGGCGTCATGATCGTGCGCCCTTGAGGCGTCATGACGGTGGTCCGCACGATCTCATGCAGGGCGTGCGGAGGACGACATGGCAGGGAGGTGATCTGTGAGCCATTGAGGCGTGAGGGGACGGGACAAGATGATGAAGGGGAGGGCTCCTCTGGTGATGAACTTGAGGATATCACGGATGAGGTGTGTGATGATTCCTCGGATGAAAACAATGGTGAGGGCGGTAATGTGGCGCATGTGATCTTCACTCGGTCACACACAGGGCTAGAAACAGATGCACAAGCTACTGCCACGACCCCCGAGGGCAACCAGGGTCAAGGACAACAGCCTGTTGCTGAAGAGTCCCCTAATCTTGTGCAAGTGGGAACTCAGGAAAGTTCGGCTGCAGTGGAAATGGCAGCATTTGACTCTGGGGTGCCCTGCAGGGATGACACCGTTGGTGCTGCTGTGACGCATGGGAGGGGATCTAGAGACTCCGTCGCCGCTAGGAGGTTGAGGCGGTTGCAGTGTCTAAATTTTCAGAGGGAAGTTGTCGACCCTAGCAGCATGGAGCGGAGTGGCTTTGATCCGCAGGAGGAGGAACCATTGCTGCCACGAAGTAGAGGAACAAGCAGACGGGGTAGGGGGAGCAGCGAAGCTGGAGGGCGTGCTGGGAGAGGCAATGGCAGGCGTGGAACAGCGAGAGGTGTTTGGCAGCAAGGGAGAGGGGTGGGTGTGGGGCAGCAAGGGAGGAGTGTGGGTGTGGGGCAGCTAGGGACAAGTGTGGGTGTGGGGCAGCAAGGGAGGAGTGTGGGTGTGGGGCAGCTAGGGAGGGCTGTTGGTGTGGGGCAGCCAGGGACAAGTGTGGGTGTGGGGCAGCAAGGGAGGAGTGTGGGTGTGGGGCAGCTAGGGACAAGTGTGGGTGTGGGGCAGCAAGGGAGTAGTGTGGGTGTGGGGCAGCTAGGGACAAGTGTGGGTGTGGGGCAGCAAGGGAGGGCTGTTGGTGTGGGGCAGCCAGGGACAAGTGTGGGTGTGGGGCAGCCAGGGAGAGGAGTTATGGTGCAGCCAGGATTGGTGCAGCAAGGGAGAGGAGTGGCTATGCAGCAGCGTTCGGGTGGGGTGACTATGGCGCAGACAGGGGGGGGGCAGCAAGGGAGTGGGGTGACTACGGGATGGCAGGGGACGGGAGGGGTGATGGGGCTGCAAGGGAGTGGACTGGCTACGAGACAGCAATGGAGTGGGTTGGGAATGGGGCAGACAGGGGGGGGGGCAGCAAGGGAGTGGGGTGACTACGGGACGGCAGGGGACGGGAGGGGTGATGGGGCAGCAAGGGAGTGGGGTGACTACGGGATGGCAGGGGACGGGATGGGTGATGGGGCTGCAAGGGAGTGGACTGGCTACGGGACAGCAATGGAGGGGTGTTGGAATGATGCAGCCAGGCAGGGACGTGGATATGGATCGCTACAGGTTTGTGGGAATGCAGCAGCGCTGGTGGGGTGAAGGTGGTGAGCATCAAGGTGGGGGAGTGGGTATGGAGCAGACACGCCCTGTAGTCGGGAGGGGAGTGGGTGCACAGGAGCAAGTGAGGGAAACAGGTGTGGAGCATCAGGACTGAGGAGTGGGTTTGTGGCTATACGGAACGGCACAGGTGTGGAGCAGAAAGGGTGAGAAGTGGGCGGGTTGCTGCAAGGGAGTGGGTGGGTAGGGAGCAGCAAGGAAGTGGAGTCAGTGTGGGCAGGAAGGGGGATGAGTGGGTATTGGGCACTCAGGGAGAGGAGTAGGTGTGGAGCAGCAAGGGGGAGGAGTTGCAATGGATCAGAAAAGGAGGAGAGAGGGCATGGACCAGGAATGGAGGGGTTCATGTGTGGAGCTGCAAGTTTGTATGGGGCTGAAAGGGAGAGTAGTGGGAATTGAAAGCAATAGGGGAGTGGGGATGGAGCAGGAAAGAAGGAGTGGGTGTGGAGCATCAAGGAAAATAAGCCCTGGTTAAGGGGCAGCAAGATAAGGGGGTGGGTGGGATCAGCCAAAAAGGGGTGTGGGTATGGCAGCAGAAGCAAGATCATCATCACCACCACTCGCAGTGAATCGTCCACTGTGGGCACCCGCGTGTCCATCCGGCAGGTTCATACATTGGCTGGGAAACTGTTTAAATGTTAGAAACCTTAAATTAATGTTATTGAACAATGCAGTGCAGTGCTTGCATCATTTTTAGGATACCGTAACACTGGTAGCGTATTCATGTTGTGCACATTTCCTAAAGGAAACACTCAACACATCGGCAACGCTTGACTAGATGTGAAATTTGCAGTACAAAGCATGGTTTGTGCAACATGGTTTCCAAAACCCTTGTGATACAATGCGTGCGTGTTTAAACTATGTGGAGATAGGCTGGCTGCCAGCCGCTTGCATGAGATTATTTTATGTCTATAGTATGTAATTGAAGGCTAGTGTTGCAGTACTACGCTGAGATTATTCTCGATTTGTATACTATATCCGTTGTATGACGAAGTATAAATTGTGCGTTCCTAGTTATGGATTGTTTAACATTTTGATAAAAATTTAGGCAGATTCAATGAATTGTGAACTCTAGCAATACATATATGCGTTCGAATTCTTTCGTAAAATTTGTGAACCATTATGTTTTGTTACGACGATTCGAACGTAACCAGGTATCTTTGCACCCAAAATGGTCGCGTATACAGGACAAAAACGAGCAACCCGAAATAAAGTCCCTAAATCTGTACAGTGTTTCAGGGCGGGTCAACGAAATGATGACACGGCTCATCTGGGATAGCAAAGTTTCGAGTGTGACTAACCATGATAGAAATTAGTGGCTTCGAGTGACGGCGAGTGATACCCGTGTGATGGTTCATGATAGATTTGGCAGATTTTGTGACTGTCCGTGATAGATTTGGCGGAACATTTGACTACTCGTGATAACTCCTAAATTTTTTGTGATGGCCCGTATAAAAACCCTTTTCTTTCGGCCTATTTCCAACCTCACTTGCGCAAGTGGGTATGCACCCTTTCTGGAATCTTTGACCGAGGGTTTAGGGGCCGTCAGAAATTTCACACAAATTTCGTAGTGAGTTTGTTCCAGACCCCCAAAAAGAGTAGAAGTGGCACAAGGGAATTCGCAACAGCAAGAGTGCCCCTTTACACGAGCGGTAATTGTCTCAGATTTTCTTTCATGCGTTTCTTAACATTGAAAATCGGGGTGCTTCATAGCCCATGTTGATCAAGTGCCCAACTGAAATAGTCAAATGCGTGCAAGGTATCTTCGAAAAGCGAGAACAGTGCAAGGGTTCGGGGTTGAAAATAGCGATGGTTAGGTGTACACCTAACCATCTGATGCATCAGGGTTTAGGGTATTTTCAATAGTGCCTCAGGTGCCCTCAAATCCTAGCGACGACCCTGGTCTCACCCACTGCCTCTACAGTATCACTGCCACCCATTGCAGGTTAATATGTAGGTGCGCTGCTAGAAAATAAAGGCCGCACAACTTGAGTTAAAGGATCTTGAGGCGGGCTCACGCACTCCATGCGGTCGACGATGATGGGGTTCTTGATCTCGAATAGCGCGCAGAGGTTGCACGGCGTGATGCCCGTGGAGCGTGCGTAGCCAATGAGCATCTCGCTCGCCGCCCGAGCGTAACGCCGCGCCTCACGGCTCTCGGGGTTGTCGTCATCATCGACTGCCTGCATGGTGGACGCCGCCTCCCAGGACGCGCCCGAATACCCCGTCGCGGGCTCAAGGGCGAGCAGGTCCTCGCCAGGTTCGGCGCACGTGGGCTGGTCGTCGTCGATCGCGACGAAGGCGGCGGCCGGCATGGCGCTAGGCCCGAGGCCTAGACGGCCGATCATGATGCCGACGTCCCCGATGTCCTCGTCGAGGTCGATAGGGAGAGCAGCATTCACGCCGTTGCCGACCGGGGCAAGGCCATCCAACCCTACTTGCACCAAATCCATGGCCCACGAGCGCGGCATGCACCCCGTGCGCCACCAGCAACGTTGGATTGTCTTGGCGGGGATGTTCATCCATGCGTCCTGCAGCCACGCGATAACGTCGTGCATGTTCGGACGATACCGCGCCATCATGGGCATTCCGCCGGCATCCTGCCACAGAGCCGTGACCGCACGAAGCCAGTGCACGAGGAAGCAAGCCTTTGTAGTGGCGATCAGTCCTTGATCGAGCGGCTGCGTGAATGCGGTCGTAAACAGCGGCAGAAATACGAGCCGGATGTTGCTGACGGTGTGAAGATTAGAACAAGAGAATGGTTCAACTATGAAAGTTTTGGGTACAAGTACTAACCCTAATTGGGTTGTACCCCTTATGGGCTACCCCACTACAACCTACACAAATGTATAAGCTATAATGTTCTGACACATCCCCATAGGCAAAGTGGGGGAGAACAAGTGGTCACAAGACCAGTCAAGCAAAGCACAGCAAGTTTAGGGTCGATCACAAAGTCACCACACAGTCCGAGCACAAGAGTAAGGCCACAAGGCCAGTTCACATGCAAGATCATATATAAAAAGGCAAACAAGCAAATGCAAGTATAGAAAGAGTATAGTACAAACAAGATCAAGAAGTGAGCAAGTGAGGCCACGTAGGCAGAAGACCTAGCAAAGTACAGAAGCGCTGACGATCACAAGGCGGAAGGGCCTTGGTGAAGATATCAGCAGTGTTGGCCTCAGAGGCCACGTAGGTGAGGCGGAGCTGACCACACTGCTGCAGCTCACAAGCCAGCAAGTAGCGAAGAGCAATGTGCTTCGTTCTGTGCTCCAGTCTGTGCTCCCGACACAAGGCCAGCATGGCCTTGTTGTCAACGTACAGAACGGGAGGAGAACGAGGCGACTCTCCTAGGTCAGTCAGCACGTACGTGAGCCAGCGTAGCTCCTGTGCAGCCATGGCCCTGCATAGATCTCAGCCTCACAGCTGGAGCTTAGAACACAAGACGAGCGGGTAGACCGCCACGAAACAGAGCCGGAGCCCCAGTCACAGTTACAGCCCGCCTCCCCTCTACCTGCTCCTTCTCCCTACACAGGTCCTACTGGAGGTCTTGCTGAGCGTTGTGAGCCTGCGTCCCATCCTGCGTCGCCTGTTCGTGCTGCTCGCACTCATGGTCGTCCCGCGCGTCCACGTCTTCCTACGGTCCCCGGCACACACCAGATGGCGCTGCGTCCTTCCACTGCTCCTCTGCGTGTCCCGTTGCCGTCTCCTCTAGAGTCCTCTCTTCCTACTCTTGCTGACTCGGAGTCTGACTCCCTTCGTGCTGCTAGTCCTTTGGTCTCGCGCCTTCTTGCTACTCTCATCACTGACTCTTCCTTTGAGTCCACTGCTGCGTCTGCTCTAGTTGCTGAGCTTGTCGACTTCGCTGATCGCTGTCGTCTAGACTACGCTGCCATTCTCGTTGCTGTGTGAGTCTCTCTGTCCTCCGTCCGTCGGGGGTGAGTGTGCTCTTAGCACGTACGTCCTTGAGGACAGGCAGGAGGAGTTCCAGTGTTTTGCTACTACTTTACCTCATCTCGTATCCATGCTGATTGCCTCTGAGGGAGACCCGGATGCACCAGACATCCCGACTCCTCGATTGTACGCTGAGGCGATCGAGGGTCCCTACTCCTCTCAGTGGCAGTCGGCCATGGATGCAGAGATGGCTTTCTGGAAGTCCACAGGCACCTACGTCGACGAGGTTCCCCCACTTGGGGCGAACATCATCAGTGGCATGTGGATTTTCAGGGTGAGGCGGCCGCCGAGTTCTCCGTCTGCCTTCAAGGCGCGTTACGTGGCTCGAGGCTTCAGTCAGCAGTAGGGAGTTGACTACTTTTAGACCTTCTCTCCCACCCCGAAGATGACCACTCTTCGGATGCTGCTGCACATAGCCGCTCAGCGCGACTACGAGCTTCACTCTCTTTACTTTAGCACAGCTTTCCTGTAGGGCAGCCTGCATGAGGAGATCTGGCTGCGCCGCCCTTCTAGCTTCACTGGGTCGTTTCCTCCTGGTACCCAGTGGAGCCTCCGGCGGCCAGTCTATGGTCTCTGCCAGGGGCCCCGTCCATGGCACGACACACTGAGGACTACACTTGCGGCTCTTGGGTTTGCTCCTTCTACAGCCGACCCGTCGCTGTTTCTTTGCACCGACACCTCTTTGCCGCCGTTCTACATCCTCGTGTACGTCGACGACTTGGTCTTTGCCACTGCTGAGACTGCTCGACTTGCCCACGTGAAGTCCGAGTTGCAGAAGAGACACACGTGCACAGACCTGGGTGAACTGCGCAGCTACCTTGGCCTGCAGATCACCCGGGACAGTGCACAGCGCACCATTACCCTGAGTTAGTCACCCATGGTGCACCAGGTCCTTCATCGCTTCGACTTCACGTACTCGTCGCCTTAGGCCACTCCTCTGTCTACTCACCACTCGCTCTCAGCTCTGCCTTCGGATGAGTACGTAGAGCCGAGTGGCCCGTACCCAGAGCTTGTTTGCTGCCTCATGTACCTGATGACCTCCATACTACCTGACCTTGCATACCCTCTTAGCATCTTGGCGCGCTATGTTGCTCCTGGGAGACACATACCAGAGCACATGGCTGCAGCAAAGAGGGTGTTGCGCTACTTGTGCAGTACGTCGGGCATGGGGCTAGTGCTTGGAGGGCGACGTCGAGTGGTCCTCACAAGTCACGCAGACGCTTCTTGGGCTGACGACCAGACTACGCAGCGGTTGTCACAGGGTTACACCTTCAGCTCGGGTTCCAGCTCTGTTTTGTGGCGTTCAACCCGCTCGTCTTCTGTTCCTGGCTCCAGCTATGAGGCCGAGATCTACGCGGCGGCCATGGCTGTACAGGAGTTACGCTGGCTCACCTACGTGCTATCTGACCTAGGAGAGGCGCCTGGTTCTCCTCCAGTTCTGTATGTAGACAACAAGGCCATGCTGGCCTTGTGTCGGGAGCACAGACTGGAGCACATGACGAAGCACATTGCTCTTTGCGACTTCCTTGCTCAGCTGCGTCTTGCTTATGTGGCCTGTGAGGATAACATGGCTGATATATATACCAAGGCACTTCCGCGTGGTGATCATCAGCATTTTAGTCTGATGCTAGGTCTTGTGCCTACTTGGCCTCACTTGCTCACTTCTTGACCTTGCTTGTACTGTGATCTTTCTATACCTGCACTTGCTTGTTTGCCTTAATATATGATCTTGCATATGAACTTGTGACCTCTTGTTCTCCCCCACTTTGCCTATGGGGGTGTGTCAAACTCATATTATATAGCTTGTGTAGGCTATAGTGGGGTAGACACTATGGGGTACAGTCTCCTAGGGTTTTCTACTTGTACCCAACTTTAGAGAGTGAGCTCGTAGTCGCGCTGAGCGGCTATGTGCAGCAGCACCCGAAGAGTGGTCATCTTCGGGATGCGAGAGAAGGTCTGAAAGTAGTCAACTCCCTGCCGCTGACTAAAGCCTCGAGCCACGTAACGCGCCTTGAAGACAGACGGAGAACTCAGAGGCCGCTTCACCCTGAAAATCCACATGCCACTGATGATGTTCGCCCCAGGTGGGGGAACCTCGTCGACGTAGGTGCCTGTGGACTTCCAGGACGCCATCCCTGCGTCCATGGCCGACTGCCACTGAGAGGAGTAGGGACCCTCGATCGCCTCAGCGTAGGATCGAGGAGTCGGGATGTCTCGTGCATTCGGGTCTCCCTCAGGGGCAATCAGCGTGGACCCGAGATGGGGCAAAGCAGTCGCAAAGCACTGGAACTCCTCCTGCCTGTCATCAAGGACGTCCGTGCTAAGAGCACACTCACCCCCGACGGACGGAGGACAAACAGACTCAGACTCAGCAACGAGACTAGCAGCGTAGTTTAGACGACACCGATCAGCGAAGTCGACAAGCTCAGCAACTAGAGCAGACGCAGCAGTGGACTCAAAGGAACGGTCAGTGACGATAGTAGCAAGAAGGCGCGTGACCGAAGGACTAGCAGCACGAAGGGAGTCAGACTCCGGGTCAGCAAGAGAAGGAAGAGAGGACTTTGGAGGAGATGGCAACGGGACACGCAGAGGAGCAGTGGAAGGACGCAGTGCCATCTGGTGTGTGCCGTGGACGCGCAGTATGACCACTAGTGCGAGCAGCACGAATAGGCAACGCAGGACGAGACGCAAGATCACGACGCTCAGCAAGACCTCCAGTAGGACCAGTGTAGGGAGAAGGAGTAGGCAGCAGGGAGGCAGACTGTAACTGTGACTGCGGCTGGACAGGCTGTGGACACTCTAAGAGAGGAGCAGGACGAGGAGAGGGCCGGAGACCAAGAACTTGGTCAAGGAGCGAAAGGAAGTACGGCCTTGGCTGCACAGCGCCTCTGGAACCAGCAAGGATGGCGCCAGTACCCCCAGCGGCAGCACGAGCACCAGTAGCACCTCCTGCTCCAACAGCGCTAACTCGAGCACCCTCAGAAGCACCAGCGCCAGTAGCACCGGTAGCGCCAACACCCCTAGCAGCTCCAGCTCGAGCAGCACCAACTCTAGTAGGGCCGTCAGCACCAGCAGCCTTAGCAGCACCCCCAGACGCACCAGCACCAGTAGAAACACCAGCGCCAACACCCCCAGCAGCTCCACCTCCAGTAGCTCGAGCAGCACCCCAAGTCTCAACAGCACGTCTCCAGCGGCGGGCAAACCACTCGCGCAGCTCCTGTGGAGAGAGCGGCTCTCGCCTCGACGAAGCACCGCCGGCGGCCACACGAGTAGACCCGGCACCCCCAAGCTCCGCACCACCAGGCTCAGCACCCCCAGGCTCAGCACCCCCAGACTCAGCACCCCCAGGCTCAGCACCCTTATTCTCAACACCCCTAGACTCAGCACCCCTAGACCCGGCACCCGCAGGCTCAGCACCTCTAGCAGCACCACAATCAACAGTTACCTCGACAAGCTCAACAGCGTCTAAAGGTTGAGCTGGGACTGAAGGTTGAGCTTATGCGCGGCGTACTGAATTGCAAACGGCCAAAGAAAATGGGGGGCAGCCGCATGCATCATGGATGTACGAGCGACGTCCATGACCATGCCAATGCGGCGCTCAACAATC